TAGAAAAGATGAATATGTCAAACAATGCTGACCCTCACTATAAAGACTAGGTGAAATTTTCACCAGTGATACAATCTGATGGTATTAGTCAACATAAATTTGGATTGCTTCAGGCTAAGTGCTATTCTATTTTTACTGTGTTGTCCCTCTTACAATGGGAATATCCGTCTTATCAATGTGTGTGCTCCATCTCTATGCTGCGAGCACATGTGGTTGTGGTTTAATAACTCTAACATTGAGGAAGATAATAATGAAGCTGACAGTAGCTATGTATATAAGAGTGACCTATCTTTAAAAAATTGACAATCTTATAGTCATATCGATTCATGGATTTTATGTGAGTATGCTTTATCAATAATTTCCATTTAATTATGAATACTTTATGTCTTCTTTTAGAGCCCATTTTGATGCAGTTAGACTGTATAGTTGGTATGCTGGGATAAAAGAAGTTAAGACATTATTTCCTCACAGCTACAAGTCAGTTAGCATATTATTTCTAGGCATAAGGTATTTTCTCCAGGAAGTCACTGGCAATTCCACTATTAATTGTGTGGTCCTTGTCAAGCAGATGCTAAGAACATGTGAAGGAAGAAATGAGACCAGCGTTGGGATCATCATTAACCCATTTATGTGTCTGCTTCACATTTTCTAGGTACAACTGGGGACTGGAAGAATCACTTTACAGAAGAGCAAGTTGAAGCCTTTGACAAAGTATTCCAAGAAAATATGGCTGGTTTTCCTCCAGGGCTTTTTCCATGGGAATAACTTCTTAAAACATTTAAATCATATATGGACAGACAAGTTTATTACCCTGTACTTGTACATGTGAATGACTGCATGTGGTCATAGAATAAATCCTGTTACTGAACTGTGGAGTTTTGTTTTTTAAGATATTAGTAGTAGCATTAGAAATAGTGGTAGAAGTACTGGATTAATGGTAGTTGTAAGGTGTGTGTATGTGGGTGCCTGCATGTGTGTGTGTGTGTGTGTGTGTGTGTGTGTGTGTGTGTGTTTCTTCATGGAACAGTAGAGTTCATCTGTCCCTTCAGAGTTGCAGTTCTGTGTTCTGTAATTTTCCTGATTGGGGTCCAAGGAACCGAACTCAGATTCTCTACAAGGTTAGTTCAGTGCTACAGACCTCTGAATCATCTCTCCAGCCCTGAAATTTAGAGTTTGAGTCATTAAATATTTGCTTCCTTTATTACTGCTTTGCTATACATTATCAGGCAACACCAATAGGTTGCTTGGAATTTCAGCTTTAAAACAGACCTTGTAATATTTTAAACATAAAATACAGTATAAGAAACTAATTTTTCCTCTATGACATTTGGGAAAAAATAAATTGTATTAAATTCATTGATCTTGAATCCTTATTCAAATAACCTGTGGTGTCAGACATTTATAATCTAACAGGTCTGCTCACTATATTGTACCTATGTCTCATTTTTTATTCTTTTTTGGTAAATTACAGAGGGTGTATAAAATAGTAGGCTTCATATTGAAACTTTGATGCATACATACACATCATTATAATTTACTCAATTTTGCTTCTCTACCTCCCCATCCTGTGCTTTTGTTTCTCTTAGTAATTTCTCCTCCAACATAGTGCTGCTCTGTTTGTATATTATAGAGATACACTTGTATTAAAAACGGGATTTTCAGAAAGGAGAAAACTGTAATATGGTCTTTCCTTTTATGGTTAAACAGATTTTTCTACTTGATAGGATGGAGAATACAGCCATGGGCATCTGGAAGAGTCCAAAGCAGAGAAAGTTTTTAACTGGACATACCCATCAGAAGAGATGAGGCCATGAGGTGGGGAGCAACAAAGGAGGACCAAAAAAGAGAGCAGAGAGAGAGAGAGAGAGAGAGAGAGAGAGAGAGAGAGAGAGAGAGACAGAGAGAGACAGACAGAGAGAGACAGAGAGAGAGACAGAGAGGGAGAGAGACAGAGACAGAGACAGAGAGAGAGAGAGAGAGGCCAAGAAGACCAAGAGGACCAAGAGGGTTCATGGTCAAACTGGCAAGGTATTATAGAAACCAGAAGCTGGGGAAGAGAACCCTGTTTCTGCAGAAGTTTAAGGTAAAGGCTGGGTGAGATGTGCTTTAATTAACCAGGATACAGATACTGTTTGGACTAAGTAGAAGGTACTTGCACATGGAGTTTGTAGAACAGCATCCACTTTGGTATGATAATAATAGAGTAATGGATTACCAGCCTACAATCCACACTGCCAGAGAAACTAGTAAACAAGGAGGACCCTAAAAGAGACAAACTTTGTCCCCTGGAGAAGGGGAAAGGGTCACCATCCCCTGAGCAAATTGAGAGCATAGGAAGAGGGGGCAGGGAGTTACGAGAATGAGAAGAGAAGATTAGGAAGGATGCAGAGGTCATGAGGGAGCAGAAAGTTTGAGTCAGGTGTAGATTAGAAGAAAGGATATGCTATAGGTAGGGTTTTAGTTGAGGGATGATGGGGAGGAGGGGAGGGAAAGGGAACTGGAATTGTCATGTAATTCAATCTTGTTTGTAATTCAAATAAAAAAATGATAAAAAAAAAAAAGAGAAATAGATGTGGTAGCTGGAGAGCTCAGTGACTAAGTGCACACACTGCTCTTGCCGAGGACTTGAATTTGTTTCCTAACATAGGGAGGCTCACAACTACGTGTAACTCCAGTTCCAGGAGATCCAACAGCCTCTTCTGACCTCCAAAAGCACATGCACCCATGTGCACGTGCCCACACAGAGGCACGTCATGCACTTAATTTTTAAAAATAAAAATAAAAACTTTAAAATAGATTTTCATTTCCTCTGTGTCTCCCTGGGATGAATCGTAAGTTTGGGTATGTTCTATCTTCATTTTCATTAAAGTCTAGGAAGTCTTTAATTTCTTTTTTTATTTCTTCCTCGACCCAGGAATGGTGCAATTGGGCATTATTCAATTCCCATGGTTTTGTAGGTTTTCTGCAATTTGTGTTGTTGTTGAATTCTAACTTTAAAGCATAGTGGTCTGATAAGATACATAGGGTTATCCAATTATCTCTGGAGGTTTGCTATGTGGCCAAGTCTTTGGTCCATTTTAGAGAAGGTTCCATGTGGCGCTAAGAAGGTATATTCTTTTGTGTTTGGATGGAATGTTCTACAGA